AGTCAAAATAAATTGACACTCAAAGCTCAAAATGTTACAAAATTATATCAATTTCTTCTGAAAATTCTTCAAACTTCTGAACAGTATGTTACAGTTATAATATGTATATCTTTACACATTCCCAGTCCAACACTTGATTCAAAACAAAATATATGCTTGGGTACGACTTGTCTTGGGTACCAGTTGACCAGTTACCTTTAAAATGACTTAAATGCAGCTCTAACATAGAACCAGGGAGATTTGAAAAATCAGGCTGTTGCTGGATTAAGTTCGAGAGTTGTGAACAATCATGTCTATACAAAGACATGTCCTTTGATTCATATAAGAGTAAACTGTGAAATTACAAAATTATTTCGCACTATGCTATTTTTGAGTAATCTTTTAAAAATATAGTAGTGTAGTAATTTTATCTCTAATATGTATAATTGTGTTTAAAACACATTTTCCATTCTTTGAAGATAACAAGACACATAATTGAATATATATGATCTAAAGTATGTCAACTAATCACCATTCAACTAAAAATATAAACAACTATTGCTGAAAGTGAAACATTGGTCATTTTGCCCATTTATGTGTCATTTTTTGATTTTAATGTGCTAATAAATATGCTAAACTTTTGAAAAGTTTAAGAATATTATCATGCAATAATAACATTTGTGTTGGTTTTCTCATTTAATGGTGGAGGGCAGATCTTAGACCTCTAATAAAAACATTCGTTGTCTTACATACATTTTCTTTAAGTTAAACAGAGAAGACAGATTCAATAAAAAACATATATGAATCTATCATCAAAGAATTATAATTGTGGAAAATTATATGCTACTGCTAAATGCAGAATGCTAAAAATGCCAAATTTTAGACACATGTAATCAAATGAAGGTAACATTAATCAATACATAGTACTGATAGAGAATAGCTACAATTTTGTTAAAGTTGATGATTTGAAATTACTTTTTCATTTACATAAATGGGGCAGGGGAGACATGAAAGCTATAATATCAACATTGGTTGTCCCATATACATTTTCTATATCCTAAATGGAAGAAGACATGTACAAGAACAGATTTGACCAAGAATGCACCAACCAGTCAGCATAAAACTCAAGATATATGGACCTATACTATATACGTTATTGCTGAAAGCAAAAATGAAAAAAAAAGTTTTGTCCTTAAATATCTCATTTCTAGGCATTAGAATACTAATGAGGGTCCTGAAACATCAGAAAAAGATTAAATAATACATAGTATTGACATAGAATAGGTACAACTTTGTAAAAGTTCATAATTTTAAGTTATTTTTCTTTTTATTAATATTTCTGGTCATTTTTCCTAATAAATGGGGTAGGGGAGACCTGAAAGCTCTACTATGAACATTGGTCATCCACTATACATTTTGTATATCTTAAATGAAAGAAGACATCTACAAGAACAAATTTGACTAAGAATGCACCAACCAGTCAGCATTAAACTCAAGATATAAGGACCTATATGGTATTGCTGAAAGCGAAAATGGTAAAAAAGCCATGTTTTGTCCTTAAATGTCTCATTTCTAGGCACTAGTTTACCAATAAAGGTTCTGAAATATCTTAAAAACATTAAATAACACATAATATTGATATAGAATAGCTACAACTTTATTAAAGTTTATAGTTTCAAGTTATTTTATATTTTCATATTTTTCTTTAATTTTTCATGATAAATGGGGTAGGGGAGATCTGAAAGCTCTAATATGACCATTGGTGGTCCACTATACATTTTCTATACCTTAAATGGAAGAAGACATCTACAAAAACAGATTTTATTACAATTGCAACAACCAGTAAGCATAAAACTCAATATATGAGGAACTATATGTTACTGCTGAAAGCTAAAATGATTTTAAAAAATGCCAAGTTTTGTCCTTAAATGTCTCATTTCTAGGCACTAGTATACCAATAAAGGTTCTGAAATATCTGAAAAACATTAAATAATACATAATATTGATATAGAATAGCTACAACATTGTTAAAGTTTATAAATTCAAGTTATTTTATATTTTCATATGTTTCAGTAATTTTTCATAATAAATGGGGTAGGGGAGATCTGAAAGCTCTAATATGACCATTGGTGGTCCAATATACATTTTTTGTATCTTAAATGGAAGAAAACATGTACAAGCACAGATTTAATCAAAATTGCAACAACCAGTCAACATTAAACTCAAGATATAAGGAACTATATGTTACTGCTGAAAGCGAAAATGATCAAAAATGCCAAATTTTGTCCTTAATTATCTTATTTCTAGACACTAGTACACTAATGAAGGTCCTTAAACATCTGAAAAACATTAAATAATACATAGTGTTAATATTAAATAGCTAGAGTTTTGTTTGAGTTAAACATTTTGACTTTTTGTTGTTTTCCATTTTTAGCCAATTTTTTCTAAAAAAGTCAAGGTATGTCTTCCTCGGACCAATATTTAGATATGTTCGCAAGAGTTATATGCTTCGCAGGCGAAATCCCTTATGCAGGAAACCCTAATAGAATGAAAAATACAGAGAAACTCCATCCAGCTCACAAAGTCATTTCTTGCACAATTCTCACACCTTCCACCCCGAGTATAACCCTTCGAACGTAGCCAGGGACATTTTTAAGTGGCTTATGGGCAAAATTTTGAAATGTGAATCCCCCTGGAGATTTAAAAAAATAAGTTTGTCACCCCCTATAGATCAGATTCTGCCTTTAATTTTGGAGTTTTATAATATTTGCATTGATTCTGTTAATTTGCAAGATTTAAAATAGGAATCGAAACCATGGACTTCAAGGCGTATAGCGTCAAAAATCATATTTATCTTGCTCTGTTTTAAAAATCTACAATCATTTCCCTTTAATTTGGCACAAAAGCCCTGTATACAAAAACTGGCTCGAAATAGCAACCTTCAACATTTCTCACCATACAGTTTTACCCCTGTCCTCTCATCCTTCATTCATCGCATAGAGACAAGAGTGTTACATCAGTATGACTAGAACGTCAACGGGACCATTATGGTCTTTGATTGTATCAATCCGTCAATTATCTGGGTTGTAGTTGATTGCGTACGTCATTTTGTCCATTAGTTTAACTTAAACATATATAACTATCGGAATCAAGAAATAGACACCGGTATCTCGAAGTCACAAGCAGCATTACTGAATAAAATGTTCATTAGCAATATTTGCATTATATAATATAGCTCGTGTTTGATTGGAAGTAAAGATTTGAAGAAATGATAATACTGTTAAATAAGTACCATGATTTAATAACTTAATGGCGTTAGATTGACATCGATTGACACGAGATACGATCTAAGTGCATCTTGGTAAAAGTAAAAGTGACAGTGGAGCGGATCATTCCATTTATATTGAATCCTTCATTAAATTTACCCGATATTCATTTCATGGTTGTGAGGTATGGAATTTTTTCTGCATCTTTATTCGATTTTCACACTTTTGCATTTCATTACAACCATTCGATATTCCACTCTATTAAAATGATTCGAAACACGTAATAAATTTGTTTGTTTTTGCACATTTATATTTGATTTATGTACCTATATATGCGGTAAATGCACTTGTATATGCGGTTTATGTTATTCAGTGTTTGGTAAAATATCACATATTTAAGTCCATGTAAACACACGAACAAAGACAGTTGACACATATATTTAGAACACGCATCAAATACAAATACACTTTAGAACCAAACAATGTTCATTTACCGAACAAGCATAGAGTACAAAATAGCACGGACATATAGTGACTTACCCCACATAATTAATGACATGTTTCGCATAAAATGATGTGGGGTAAGTCACGTGACTTACCCCACATAAATGACACATGCTGCATGTAGCATAAAACCATTCGGTAAATCACGTGACCAGTGAAGTAGAAATTTCAAAATGGATGAAACTAGCGAGGAAAAAGAATTTGAATACGATTCATATTCACAATTCAGAGAGGAAATTGAGAAGTTATTAGATCATTACAACAGGCATGAGGCTACATAACTTAGCGATCCTTTCTTAATAGAAGATACGTTTTTTGATTGGAGAATCACACCAGAGCTCTTTGAATATATAGATGGCGCAAGTCACATGACTTACCCCACATCAAAACAGTGAACAATGGTTTATATAAAATCATTCGGTAAGTCACGTGACTTACCCCACAAATGAATATGTTTAGCACAAATGAATATATTTACCCAATACGAATGGTACTTGGCATCGCACATATTTAAAATACTTATCAAATTTATATTTGATCGGGTCGAATACGCTTTTGAAGCATCTTACATATTTGTTGTGTAAGACAGTCAATTATATGTGGGATAGTAGGTACCATTTGTTGTAACTGGTTTTGTTTATGTTCGGATTAACTTACTCCGTGGGGTAAAAACCGAAGATATTAATGTTACGAATATTGATGCAATAAATACACTATAGTGAGGGATAGATCGAATGTGATGTTAAGTTTTTCATATGTGAAGACATATTAATATTTTAGCTAGAAAAATCGAAACAATCGAATATCAGGCATTGTGTGTAAGGATTGACGAATATAGATCAAACTTTCCAAAACCATAGGATGTTTGATGATTATATTGCCCAGTCCTTCAGAACGATTTTTTGTTTTTAGCTTATATTTGCACGGATCAATAATGGGCCCCAATAATTGACTATGGACACAGTTCCAAGCCCATCCGTAGTCAGTTTAATAAGTTTTTTCTTGTGTCTCGATCATATATAGATATAATGCTATCTTTTTTAATATTTTTCTGAAAGATTGCAAATAAGATTATTATTATTATACATTGTAATATTATCAAACATAGTCAATTAGCTATACACTTTTCAGAAAAGCCATTTTCGGGATAAAACATAAATTAAGTTAACATGTTAATTTTATGAATAAAGATGTTAAGCTATATGCGAATAGGCTATGCAAAAATAAATGTTATTAATCAATTAATTTTAGTACAGTACTTCATAACAAAAGAGAATCAATATGAATGGGAAGATGATATATGCCCAACACTGGATAACGACTTGAGGTACGCCATCGATAGCGAAGATGGGGAGAGGTACAACCATATGCGACAGGTATCAACGTTAGTATTGCATTCCATAATTCAGATATTAGAAAATGAATTACCGTATGAATGTCATCATGATAAACCATGACATCTCATTACTTCTCAGCCCTGAGATGTTTCAGTTGAAACAGAGAGATGCTATGAGTATCAGGATGTAAATATATACAAATCCAGGTTACGTGTTCCAAGTCACTTGAAAACAGTTAATTCTGATCTTGGGGATATTTGTTTATAATTGCACCTGGTCATTTTCGTGTCTAATTTCTAATTTTAGTTTTTGAGGAGAATCCAGGAGATCATTTTCGAGGTATTACTTTTATTCACAAGATGTCGTATTCAAGTAACATCTTCTTATGTTTCTTATATGATCTCATAAAGATTGCCTTATCTAGCAGCCTCCTAGTATCATTAATGTTCTCACTTGTAGTGATCAAAATGCCTGGATTGGACTTAGAAAGACCAATCCAAACACGTGGGCGAATAGTGTATGGATAGATGGAACAGCTTATAGTACGACGTGGAATAGATGGAAAGATGGGAGTGAAACGACCGAACACAACTGCCTTGAAATAAACGGCAACGACGTATGGCACGCTCACGATTGTACTAATGAAAAGCATATTCTTTGCCAGAAAGGTGATATTTGCAGATAAAGGATAGGTATCGATATGGAGAACTGAATTCAACAATGTTTTTCTCTTAAATCAATCATTGAAAACATTCTGTAAAAAACACGGTATTTTATGTAATGTTGACTGATTGACAACAATTTAATGCGAAAATTATTTAGAAATATTTTATATAACTGTTTTTGTTAACATTTTTTGTTTTTTTAGTGCAATTGTTTTTGCTCCTTTCTAGCAATTCTTGAGGATGAAATAAAATGTATTTCCGAACCTTGTTGGAACAAAATAGCATATACAACATGTTTTTGGATCTTCAATATTATAGTTATACAAAGGAATTTTTGGTTGATTTTAAAAAAGTATTCAAAAAAATTAAAACAAAATCCCCCAAAGTATATAAAAATCAAGATAAATCTTTTATTTCATTAACAAGATACTTTTTTAAAATCAACCAAAATTTCTTTTGTTCAATTACAATATTGAGAGACCTAAAAAACATGTTGTGTTTATGTCGTTTTGTTCCAATGAGGTTCGGAAAGATGTTTCATTTCACTCTGGAAACATGATACCAAGAACAAAACAAGTGTTTGATGTGTTTTCTAAAACAATATAGATGAGAGTATATTTATTTTTTCAAATAATATTGTTACCATTCAAAAGATGACCATTAAATTGACGATGTGTACATTTTTTAGATTTTTTTGACTGGTTTAAGAGAAACGTGTGTTCAAAAAGTTTTCCATATCGATACCACTCCTTTCCAAATAGTAATAACTTATTTTAATGGTAACTATAGGATCTGGTATGCTGGCACTGAAGTACATTAGTCGCCTTGACAACAATTTTAGATTTTTTGGGCTCATCTTACTCATATTCTTCATCGAGTCTATTTTCTAAAATTCCCAAAGTGTATACTTTATTGAAGGAAAATTAAATTCGATTCGTTTACGAATATGGTTACTACATATATTATTGTGTAGTATAGTATTAAAACTTCACAAAATAACACTTGATGGATTTATGGGAGATATTATATTTGAGATTGAAAGGAAAACATTGAATGTAGTTCAACTGTTCATGTTGCTTGTATTTTTGTCACTCTCTATAGATCTAAATTATGATAAAGTACGACAGTTCACTTCTCCTCAACCATGAGATGCAATGCTATTATGGGTTAGATCTGACGATATCCCAGATTTGAGGTATTTTGTGATATTCTATCCTAACTTATATTTCCTCTTATTAGGGTCATAAAACCTGTGAAGAATATATCACATACGCCTGATCGTTCAATAAGTAAAGCTAATATTTATTTCTAACCCTCCTATCACACCAAACTAGTTCTTACCCGTTCTTGCCAGTCCTACGAAAACGTCGTAAAACGGGCTCAATCTGGCTGTGGTCGGGAAATGTGTCTGAGATAATTAGCTTCTTCGTTCTTAAACAGTCTTCAATACGTCCATCTCGTTCGCAGTTCGTTCAGGTCGCACCACGTCGGTGTGCAACGTCGTATAACGCGTCCCTTAGTCTAGAAGGTCAACATGACCTGATTACAGAACGGTATGGTCGCCATCGAATTTTGAATCGATTCAAAATTCTAAAATCACATTCCCGTCTGGGAACGTTCATAAAGTTCGTAAATAGACCTTAGAAAGTTGCAGCTACGTTCATTCCGTTCGCACACAGTTTAAAACCAGTTTTAAAGAACGCAGTCGCAACTTGTTTGGTGTGATAGCTATATTTTTTGCCAACTCGTTCATAAGCAGTGTTAAATACGTTCTTCATCAGTTTAAACCCGTTTGCAATTAGTTCTACCTCGTTCTCAACACGTCCTCAGACAGTTCAACTCGTTGTTAAAACGTCCCTAGTAGGATTGAAGTACGACGGCTCCGTTCGTAGTACGTCCAGCTCGTCGTTAGTACGTTGTCACTCGTTCTAATTGTAGAACGTGACGACCACGAGAAAATTTTGAGCATTGTCTAAGTTCTAGAGGACCTACCCGTTCGAGTACGCTCGATGAAGTTTGTAAATAGATCCCAAACGGTTCTTAGTAGGTCCAGTCCGTTCGTACACAGTTGAAGCCCGTTTTCGAGAACGTAGTGAGAACTAGTTTGGTGTGATAGTAGGGTTACAGAATAAAGGCTTTAGAACAAAAGGAGTGGTATCGATATTGAGAACTTTTTGAACACACGTTTCTCTTAAACCAGTAATAAAAAAATCTAGAAATTTAACACATCGTCCATTGAATGGTCATCTTTTGAATGGTAATAATATAGTTTGAAAAATATATATATACTTTCATCTACAGGGTGTCCAATAAATAAGGTGAAAGATATTGTAACTTTTTTAATATTGCACCAATCTTGATCAAATTTTCAGAGTTTTTAGCCCAAACCTATTTACCTTTATTCTGTGAATTTAAAGCGTCTTCTACTTGATTGGCCAGAGTTGTGGTTGCTATGGCAACCTAAACAACAAAAAGGCGGGGCAAGTTTGTTTACGTCACAACTTTCCAAAACATATTTATTCTTTCTGATAGCTTTATTCATACTCCCAGGTCTATTACTACCACACATACAATATAAAAACAGTCCTAGAGTCCCATTGTTATGAAAATAAGCTATTCAACATAATATAATGTCCATCTCTAGCTATACACTTCTTATGCCTATTCACCCACTCTCTAAACACACTTTCAAACCTAGTCTTGCCCATTTCCTGAAGTCTTGCTAAGACATGTTATCTGAGTTCACACATAGCTATGCTCACCAGTGAAACTATTAGGGCACTGGGGCTACCCCTATTTGCACACCCTCCATATTCCCCAGACCTTGCACTCAATGACTTTTACTTATATGCAGACCTCAAGCGTGACTTGAGAGGAAATAAATTTGGAAGCACTGATGAACTCAGATCACACGTCTTAGCAAGACTTCAGGAAATTGGCAAGAATGGGTTTGAAAGTGTGTTTAGAGAGTGGGTGAATAGGCATAAGTGTATAGCTAGAGATGGAATGTTGAATAGCTTATTTTCATAACAATGGGACTTTAGGACTGTTTTTATATTGTATGTGTGGTAGTAATAGACCTGGGAGTATGAATAAAGCTATCAGAAAGAATAAATATATTTTGGAAAGATGTGACACAAAGAAACTTGCCCCGCCTTTTTGTTGTTTCGGTTGCTATAGCAACCATAACTCTGGCCAATCAAATAGGAGACGATTTACATTCACAGGATACAGGTAAAAAGATTTGGGCTACAAACTCTGAAAATTTTATCAAGATTGGTGCAATATTAAGAAAGTTACAATATCTTTCACCTTATTTATTGCACACCCTGTATATTGTTTTAGAAAACATATCAAACACTTTTTTTTGTTCTTGGTATCACGTTTCCAGAGTGAAATGAAACATCTTTCCGAACCTCATTGGAACAAAACGACATAAAGATAACATGTTTAGGTCTCTCAATATTGGAATTGTACAAAGGAAATTTTGGTTGATTTAAAAAAAAGTATCTTGTTAATGAAATAAAAGGTTTATCTTGATTTTTATCTATTTTGGGGGGGATTTTGTTTTAATTTTTTGAATACTTTTTTAAAATCAACCAAAAAATCCTTTGTATTACTATAATATTGAGAGGTCTAAAAACATGTTGTATATGCTATTTTGTTCCAACAAGGTTCGGAAAGTCATTTTATTTCATTCTCAAGAATTGGTAGAAAGGAGCAAATCAATTGCACTAAAAAACAAAAAATGTTAACAAAAACAGTTATATAAAATATTTCTAAATAATGTTCTCATTAAATTGTTGTCAATCAGTCAACATTACATAAAATACCGTGTTTTTACAGAATGTTTTCAATGATTGGTTTAAGAGAAAAACATTGTTGAATTCAGTTCTCCATATCGATACCACTCCTTTGTTATACTTATTTTAAGGCCTAAACTGCATCATCACTTTCCCCAAGACTAGAAGCTAAGTATGCCAGACATTACATTTTACTTGTATTAAGGAAATCATTCCACTAACATTGCCTCGTTGTTATATGTTGTACTTTACAAATATGTTTTCAGTTTACAAATGTGACGACCCATTCCCTCACGATGACAACGCCGTCATAACTGACCTAAGTGTCGATGAATACTATCCTAGTGTCAAATATCGTTGCAATTCTGGGTTCTTCATAGGAGCTAATACGAACATTGGAGAAGAAATCATACAGTGTAGAAATTCTGTTTGGGGCAAGCACACTCAGTGTGAAAGTCCCCCTTGTACTAGTCCACCAATCGATGATTTTAGTACTGTTTCCTTTAGCCCGGCATCTTTAGTAGTTGGTACAATTACGTGTAAACTTGGGTATTCAATTGGTGGAGGAATGAATGAAGATTTCAGTGAAGCAATGGAATGTATCTCTGGGGGTGTTTGGAATGCGAGCCACATTCTCTGCGCAAGAAGATCATGCGGACCTCCAGTATCATACTTTGGTGCCTCGGTGACATACTTGGAAACACTATACACGGATTCAGCTGAATATAAATGCAGTTATGGGTATAAAACGTCCGACGGCGTGGACTCATACACGATTGAATGCTTACCCAATGCAACATGGAGCGACAGACCTAAATGTGAACCTGAGGAATGTGGGCCTACGCCACGATATGAAAATGCAAAAATTATCTCCCACACAGGAACACACTTAAATGATACCGTCGAGTTTGAATGTAACCCCGGATTTGAGATGGATGCTACAACTGGTGAAACCAAGGGTGATATATTATGCCAGGCATCTGGCACTTGGAGTGAACTTCTCGGTGTTTGCCAGCGCAAGAACTGCGGAGATCCTCCCCATGACAGCCATGCTGTAACAATAATGACAAGTGGTACATATTTTGAGGATTATGCCAACTATACTTGTTCACGTGGTTATAGAATAGGTCAAAACAGCACTGGCACGATACACTGTCAGGAGGATGGGTTATGGGCCAAGCATGCTCCGTGTTTGCCTGTAACATGTTCTGATCCTCCCACAGACCAATATGCGACAATAACGAGGAATGGACTAAGCTATAATGATACAATATTGTATACATGCCACACTGGTTACTACATAGATGGACATATAAGGGCATCCAATGAAACACTAACGTGTTCTGAATATGGTCAGTGGGTTCCGATACATGCCCCATGTAACCCAGTGTCTTGCGGGAATCCTATAGATGATCCTCATGCAAAGGAAGTCGGGGATGGTTCCCTTTATAATGACACAATGAGATATGATTGTGATATTGGATATGTACTTCCTGATCATACCAGTATGAACAGTCGAAATGTTAGTTGTCATAGTAACGGTCAATGGAGTCCGATACATGCCCAATGTGAATTGTTGTCTTGTGGAACTCCTATAGATGATCCACACGCAAAGGAAGTTGTGAATGGTTCCCTTTATAATGACACCATGATATATCATTGTGATATCGGATATGTACTTTCTGACCATACCAATATGAACAGACGAAATGTTCGTTGCAATAGTAACGGTCAATGGAGTCCGATACATGCCCAATGTGAACTCTTGTCTTGTGGAAATCCTATAGATGATCCACACGCGAAAGAAGTTGGAGATGGTTCCCTTTATAACGACACAATGAGATATGATTGTGATATTGGATATGTACTTCCTGATTATACCAATATGAACAGTCGAAATGTTAGTTGTCATAGTAACGGTCAATGGAGTCCGATACATGCCCAATGTGAACTGTTGTCTTGTGGAAATCCTATAGATGATCCACACGCAAAGGAAGTTGTAAATGGTTCCCTTTATAATGACACCATGATATATCATTGTGACATTGGATATGTACTTCCTGATCACACCAATATGAACAGTCGAAATGTTCGTTGCCATAGTAACGGTCAATGGAGTCCGATACATGCCCAATGTGAACTGTTGTCTTGTGGAAATCCTATAGATGACCCACACGCAAATGAAGTTGCAAATGGTTCCCTTTATAATGACACAATGAGATATGATTGTGACATCGGATATGTACTTCCTGATCATACCAGTATGAACAGTCGAAATGTTAGTTGTCATAGTAACGGTCAATGGAGTCCGAAACATGCCCAATGTGAACTGTTGTCTTGTGGAAATCCTATAGATGACCCACACGCAAATGAAGTTGCAAATGGTTCCCTTTATAATGACACAATGAGATATGATTGTGACATCGGATATGTACTTCCTGATCATACCAGTATGAACAGTCGAAATGTTAGTTGTCATAGTAACGGTCAATGGAGTCCGAAACATGCCCAATGTGAATTGTTGTCTTGTGGAACTCCTATAGATGATCCCTACGCTGTAGGAGTAGTCAATGGTGTTCTCTACAATGACACGGTGGCATATGATTGTCATATTGGATATGTACTGTCAGACTTACCCCATATGAACAGCAGGAGAGTAAGTTGTCTTGGTGATGGAACGTGGGAACGTCATGAATTATGTACACCTATTGATTGTGGACCTCCAATGATTGATAGTAACGCATACGTTAACTTATCGGGAATATTGTATAATAATACTGTACGATATGATTGTCGTACTGGCTATAGGCTTGGATCATCATTCCCCAATGCAACAACCTACGTTGAGTTGAGTTGTCTCTCAAATGGATCATGGAGTTACCACATTCCGTGTACTCGAGTAGCATGTGGACAGAGGCCAGAAGATCGCCACGCTAATGTTACTGCTTCTACGTATATCGATAGTTTAAATAGTGTTGACAATCAAAATTCACAAAGCCTGGTGTCCAATCAAGACCTGTTTAATGATACTTTAACTTACTCTTGTAATTTGGGATATCTTATAAATGGTACAAATGAAACAGAAAAAACTATATCCTGTACTGAGACTGGTAACTGGACTAAGCACAATGCTTGTGTTAGACGCTCCTGTGGCCCATCACCGACTGACGAGAACGCCATTGTGTTTTTTACTGATATTCCTTATTTATATGGAACAATGGCGGTTTATCAATGCAATCAAGGTTACTGGATAAATGGTTCAACAACTTACAATATAACGTGTCAAGCTGATGGAAGGTGGGGACATCTGGTTCCTTGTTCCATCATTCCTTGTGGAAATCCGCCTTTTGACAACTTTGCCAACATAACGCTAGGTAGAACCATCTTGGATAATATCAGCGCGGGCAACAATACAAACACAATTCAGAATAGGCCATTCGTGTACAACGACACCTTGGTGTACTCCTGTGTACACGGATATACTATACAATATAGTAACGCATCAACTGCAACGATAACTTGCGGAGATGGAGGCCAATGGAGTGAACACCATCCTTGTGTGAAGGCAAATACGTCCTCTTTTGGTTGTTCTTGTGGCACTCCTGATGTAGATCCAAATGCCATCCAAAGCCAAGTAAAGACCAACTACAAGTGTATGGACGTCGTTATATTCAAATGCAAGGATGGCTATCACGTTTCTGGCCGTAGTGAGGACATAATCGAAGAGCATTTACAGTGTTCGCCGAATGCCACTTGGTCATCGCGATCATATTGTATAAGTATGTTATTTATAATTTGGTTGTGTATTTTAATCATTCACTGAATTTCATCACAGTTTACAAATCATATCATAATACTGTAGATGTACATTTCTAAAAATACCCTACCACTGATGAGGTCTTGGTGGGTTATAATTGTGCAAAAGTTTTAACACTGAAGTAAACACAATCTCATGTACATAATTGCACTTATTTACTGCCTTGCCCTTCCAGGTGTGAAATCCAAGTCCTGGGTCCGAGCAAAGAGAGTTGAATACGAACCCGAGGAGGCAAGAGGAGCGGCATTAATGGGCTCAGTAGGACTTATCGCCATCATTGCTATGCTTGTTGTCGTCATATTATCAGACATTGAGAGGTTTCATTCGCAAATAAAACTTATGTTACAAAACTTGTCGATTGGCCATAGATTCCGGAGAATGAGATGAATATGAATAAAGTTAGAATTTGCGCATTCCCTAAGTTGAAATGTAATATAAAGTATTATAATCATACATTCTAAATAAATTGTAACTTTTGATATATAATCGACTATCTTTCATTGATACTCCTTTTTGAATGTGTTGCATTATAACGACATCTTTCAATTGGAATAAAAACACTGACACTTTTAATATTTTCTTGCCAGGTCAGAAGATGACAAGAGTAGCAGTTGCAATTTAAGCTCTGGTAGAACCGGGAAGGGGGAGAGAGATTTCCCAAAGATGAGCATTGGTCTTGGCACGTTCGATGACCAATGTTATAATCAGGCCTCATTTGCCATTGAAATTTATCTCAGAATGTTTTGTTTTATGAGTATTGTCTATAAAGGATTGGTATCGATATGGCGAACTGAATTCTACATTGTTTTTCTTTTAAACCAATTATTGAAAACATTCTGTAAAAACACGGTCATTTATGTAATGGTCACTGATTGACAACAAAATAAATATTTTTTATAACTGTTTTTGTTAACATTTTTTGATTTTTAGTGCAATTGTCTTTTGTTCCGTTCTACCAATTCTTGAGAATGAAATAAAATATCTTTCTGAACATTGTTGGAACAAATAGCATATACAACATTTTTAGACCTCTCAATATTATACTCATACAACGAAAAATTTGGTTGATTTAACAAAAAGTATTCAAAAAATAAAACAAAAACCTCCAAAAATAGATAAAAACTAAAGTAAACCTATAATTTCATTTACAAGAAACTTTCCTTTGTACAACTACAATATTGAGAGACCGAAACACATTGTGTTTATGTTGTTTTGTTCCATGGGGTTCGGATAGATGTTTCATTTCATTCCGAACATATGATACCGAGAACAAAAGAAGTGTCTGGTGTGTTTTGTAAAACAATATAGAGAAAAGTATCTATATTTTTATCAAATTAAATTGTTACCATTCAAGAGACGATCATTGGATTGACGATGTGTAAAATTTTAAGAATTTTTTGATGACTGGTTTAAGAGAAACATGTGTTCGCCATATCGAAGCCAATCCTTTGGATCGAGTACAGTAACTTATATAGTATTACCAAGGTTGCAACCGTAGTTTTGAATTGATGATGTTGATCTGATAGTAAACTGAAATTGACTGATTGGGTAGAGGGCCCTGAACTGTTACATTTGCATTTACTGAATGAAATAGGATATTGTCAACAATGTAATATACATGTAGTTTGTGTTCAAGTAAAAAGGTTCAAAGGCATAATTAAACGTGATGTAAAAAGTGTCCTATCAAACTGCATGCCTACATTCTTTCAAACTGCGTGCCTTTTGATACAAGCGACGTGCCTTATATTTGCAACCCAGTGCGTGCAGCATAACATCAAGTTTGTCCATAGAGCATCCCTTAAGGTACGTTCACACCAACAGCGCTTTGATGGCGCTTTAAAGCGGCTTGTAAAGCGGCACCAAAGCGTAACAAAGCTTGATTAAAGCGTCGGGGTCGTAATAGGTCGTAGATAAGCTCGGGAGTAAAGCGGGATATTCGGCAAGAGCGCTAAAATTTTTTAACTGTTTAAGTGTTCGCACCAACGGCGCTTTGATGGCGCTTTAAAGCAGCTTGTAAAGCGGCACCAAAGCGTAACAAAGCTTGTTTAAAGTGTCGGGGTCGTAATAGGTCGTAGAAAAGTTCGGAGTAAAGCGGGATATTCGGCAAGAGCGCCAAAAAATTTTAAACTGTTTAAACATTTTGGGCGTTCTGTTACGAATTGATTAAAGCGCCGAGAGCGTATCAAAGCTTAAAAAACCGTAACAAAGCTCAGCAAAGCTTGACCCAAAGCGTAGGAAAGCTTAACAGAGCTTGGTTCAAAGCGTGGACCCCAGTCTCTTCATGGTCTGTAACCACTTTACACGCTTCGTTAAGATGTCTCAGGATTTGTTACGATCTGGCATGAAGATCTGACACGAGGTCAGACGCTTTCATCAATATCTGACACTCTTTGTTATGCTTTCATGAAGGACTCTCAAGCTTTCCAACAAATTGAGACGCTTACATCAAGAATTGAAACGCTTTGTTATGCTTTGTTACGCTTGACAAGCTTTCTCATGCTCTCTCACGCTATTTCACGCCGTGCGTCAAACGTCATGTCTTATTCAGATAGGTCATGCTCTGGTCCATCTGGAATTTATGGATCTTGTTGTTCTGCCATCATGTTCTCGAGTCAAAGATGCAATGGTTTTATGGATCTACTGCATCTTTATATAGTCATTGGATCAAAAGCGGCATGCAATCGGCGATCTCGACATTTTCCAATGCGTGACAGAGCTTAACAGAGCGTAACAATGCACAACAGAGCTTGGCAATCGTATCAGAGCCTGATTTAAAGCGTCATAATCGCATCCAAGCGTAATAATGCTTATCAAAGCGTGATTTCAAGCGTAACAAAGCCTGATCAAAGCGGGATCAAAGCGTGAGGAACCTATTAGAGCTCTGTTAAGCTTTCCTACGCTTTGGATCAAGCTTTTCTGAGCTTTGTTACGGTTTGTTGGGCTTTGATACGCTCTCGGTGCTTTAATCAATTCGTAACAGAGCGCCCAAATTTTTTAAAAAGTTTCAAATTTTTTGGCGCTCTTGCCGAATATCCCGCTTTACTCTGAGCTTTTTACGACCTATTACGACCCCGACGCTTTAATCAAGCTTTGTTACGCTTTGGTGCCGCTTTACAAGCCGCTTTAAAGCGCCATCAAAGCGCCGTTGGTATGAAGAAAAATGACAAAAATGACGGCGCTTTGCTCGCCGATTTAAAGCGTGGCATTCGCCGTTGGTGTGAACGTAGCTATAGCACAAAGAGAGAAGTCACAATGCTTCAAACACAACAGCATATTGGCCTTGTAACGATGAAAGTCCTGGAGGAGACGCTTGGGAGGGGTTGGCCCCAGTGCTGATATCCCTGATGTGATGGATACAGATACAGAAGTTTCACTATTTATACCCCTTAGGCTTCTTTTATGAGGGGGGTACTGTGATGAATATGAATAATTTCTTTTAAAGTTTGATCATAATTGGTCAAATGGTTGCCATGGCAACACAGTTCAAGTGGGAAAAACTATAAATATTTCGGATAAATCTATTTGTTCTTAAAAAAGTTTCAAATGACTGCTTATGTTGAAATTTTTCAGTAAGATAATAAAAGGTGGATCAATATTATTGACGATTTTATTGATGTGTTGTGGGTTGCATTTATTTGGGTCACCCTGAATTACGATTAATAACAAAAATAGTTGAAAAACAAGGGTTGTTCAAAATGTTTTGCACAAATATATCTACCTAATTATGAGAATAACGAACGTTGTTCAAAGATGGTAGGTATGTGCCCCAATCTCATTTCCTTACACTCTCAAGGTTTCATGCATATACGTCTATACTACTTACCATTTTACGGTTGTTCTAGTACTGAACAAAGGGCGATGGCGCTATGGTCCATGTCATTTTGTAAAAGGACAATTCGTCATAAAGTTCTCATGATATCTCTCATTTTAACAACATATTCAAGATAACATTTTGATGTGTTTGATGATGATTTATGTTTGATGATTTATGAGAGTTTATTATGTATGTAAACAAGGCTAATTACGCTCAATCTCTCAATTATTTCCTTTTGACCCGGGTGCCTTGATTTCCGGTTACTATGGCAACCATTACTTATCTAATATTTCTGTTATGCCAAATATTTTTTTTATGGATTAATGAAGTATTCATTGAAAATTTCATTAGATTATATTGAAAAATAAAAAAATTAAAGAGATATTATGAGAACTTTATGATATACCCTCGCATAAAGACCAATATTCCCGGCCAATATTACTAAACATGCTTTTACTTACATAAACTTTCACTGACTTAGATTTAAATCTAGTATTGTTCTCGTGGCAAAAGGGAATCTTGCATCTATATATATATATTGCCAAGGAATGACCGTAAACATACTCTTCAAACACCTTGAACAAATCCCCTATTTAAGTTCATGACGTTCATGAAATAATGGAGAATATGGCTTGAAATAATTAGTTAAAGTAGCAAACATTGGTAGAATACATGATAAAGAATGGGGAAACAGTATTACACAAGTTATATTCATCCATGCAACATATACATCATAAAGGTCTACAAGTTAAGATGGCCTGAGATAAACATGGAACGTTCGGTTATTTATACATTTTGACGTTCGCATTAATGTAGTAGCTACATCGCGCCCTCTCTTGGCGACCTTGACTTGTGAAATTTCGGCAACATTACCAACATTTCCTGATAAATAATCTAAAAACAGGTAATAATAGGCTTTGAATATGTATCGTATTAAAGTAAAAAATATGTTGAGTGAATATTTGTTCGGTTGGACCAATAATGGTGTGGACCATTCGCCACCTTTGTGTAGTTTTTATGATTGCATTTGAAACAAATGAATTTGAAGAATCGAATAAATCCAGATTGTATGGGCAGTCTGTAAACTGTTCCAAAGGCAAGTAGTTGAACCTGAAAACTAGGAAATCTATGGACTATTGTGCAATAACATATAGAAAAATATATTCATATTGCACACGAGACATTTGTATATTTCAGATTGTTTAGAGTCCATTTCACCCATGATTTCACTGTTTTATTGTGTCAGTAGAACCCCCAAAATAAGAAATCGGGAGACCATTGTGCAATAATATATGGAAAAGTATATTCATATTGTACATGAATGACATTTGTATATTTCAGATTTTTTGTTTTTTTGTGCAATAAGCCTGTGCCCTCTGGTAATTTGAAGAATTTCAGCCATGTTAATCTTATTGAAAATAACATGGCAGAGACGCATCCAAATATAAGAGGTCACACACTTTATAAGCCAAACTAGAAGCAATCCAAGATATACAAATGTCATTCATGTACAATAGGAATATATTTTTCCATATATTATTGCATAATGATATTTTGATTTCTTATTTTTTAGGTTTTACTGACGCAATTAAACAGTGAAATGGACTCTAGTGTATAGTGCCCTCTTGTAATTTAAGGTCTATCCGATATTGAAACAGTTTAAATCGAAACATTTATACATTTCCTTACTTTTGTATATTTTAGTTTGTTTT